GGAGACAGAGGCAGAAGGATCTCTGTGAATCCAAGGCCACCCAGAGCTACAAGAGAGTGAATCAGTCTAAAAGAGACAGAGCTCACAACTTCAATACCAGCACGAAAGAGTACATAAGGAGCTCATAAGTGCAGCCGCAGGGACAGTCTAGGAGTTTGAGGCTTGGTGGAGAGCAGTGCAATCTGGAGATGCAATCTGAGGTTCAGTGGATCCCCCCTTAGGTCTGAACATTGACAGAGGTGAGAACTCTCTAGTGGTTGGCTGCTTTGCTTCTCTGATCTTCAGCTTGAACCTCAATAGCTGCCTCTGGGTTTTTATTATTCATGTTATACATCCTGAGTGAGATAACCCAGACCCAGAAAGAAAAATATAGTATGTACTCACTCATAAGTGGGCATCAGTTGTAAAGTAAAGGATAACCATGGTACAATCCACAGCCCCAGATATGCTAGGTAATGAGGAGGGCCTAAAGGGGGGTGGGAACACATGGATTTCCCTGGGAAATAGAAGAGATCTACTAGGTATACTGGGGGTTGGTGGGGATGGGAACATGAGGGATTGGGTTGTGAGGATGGGTGAAGAGGCAGAGTAATGAAATAGACATCTTGATGGGGAACATTTTGGAGTCAGGTAGATACCTGGTGCAAGGGAAACTCCCATGAATCTACAAGGATGACCCCAGCTAAGACTCCTAGCAAAAGTGGATAGGTAGCCTGAACTGGCTATCTCCTGTAGTCAGATTAGTAACAACCCCAATCATAGTAGAGAACCTTCATCCAGTAAATGACGGAGACAGATGCATAGGGCCGAGCTTTGGGAATCCTGCTGAAGTGAGGGAAGTATTAAACGAGCCAGGGGGATCAAGGACATCACAAGAGAACCCACAGAAACAACTAACGAGGGCTCACAGGAGCTCAGAGTCTGAACCAAACAGGCAGAGAGCATACATGGGACTGATCCAGGCCCTCTATGTATGCATATAGCTTGAGCTACTCGTGGGACTCCTAGTGGTGGGAACAGGACCTGTCCCTAATACTTTGGCTGGCTTCCAGAAACCTATTCCCCATACTGGGTTCCTTGCCCAGTCTTAACACAAGGGGAGCACATTCACACCTCAACTTGGTATGCCATGCTTTGTTGACACCCATGTTCATGGCCCTTTCTGAACAGAAACGGAAGATAGTGGATGGGGGGAATGGAGAACAGGAGGGAGGAGAAACTGTGCTCGAGATGTACAAGAAAAGAATAAATTCCATTGACTAGAAAAAGATCAGTATCTAGTATTACTGGGCAACTTTCAAAGAAAGGAAGCTTTGTGTATCAAGCTTACACTCACCTGAACAAGTGACTGCAAGCAAGGGAATCATATCCTCTGTTGTCTCAGAGGGTAGAATCAATAGGCAGACTCGACGAGAATCTTTGCTTCTTAGGAAGAAACAAGTACAGATACCCTTTTAATTTTTTCTTTTGTTTCTTCCTACCCACTATCATACCGACTATCATTCTTTGCTTTCACAATAGAAAACGTGTTTGATTTTTACTTTTCATCAAAACAAAACCTGATAATTGAAGTTAGGTTGCTTTTAGGACTGAAGCAAAGGCTGGTGAATACTTAAGATGGCTTGGGCTTGAGGGCACTTACTAAGTACGATAGATACTGAATGACTGACTGTGCATGCATAAAGCGTTTGAAATACACGGACAGAGTGGGGAATGGAAGCTTCCAGGGTTGAAAACGTCAGAGGTTAGGAGCTCAAGGGAGACACGACAAATGAGCCCAGAAGCCTGCACTGTAGTGTGGACACTCAGCAGCACTGTACTGAAAGCTTAGCAGTGTGCTGAAGGTGAGTTAACGGCTACTGCCCTGATGACAACTACAAGCAAGAAGGCTTGTGTGGAAGGGAGAGGTGCCAGAGCAGGACTGCAGCCACCAGTGGGAAGATTTCCACTTTAACACCAGCCTGGGCTACACAGTATGTCCAGGCTAGCAAAGCTACACACATCCACACCCTGTCTGAGAACCAAAATCTACCTTTCAAGATTGCACATTATTAGCCCAATGTTCTAAAATTAGGTAAGGAGAGGACGCTAGATATAACTTGTTTCTTATAAGGTATATTTCTTGTGCCTAACTGTGTATTTTCTGTGCTCCACAGTTACTACACTTGTATTGTTTACTACTGCAGACAATACAATGTAACTATCGCCATTTCATTTCTATCAACTGGAAACAGCTAAAGCCGGTGGCTACTTTGGAGTCTTCTTCCTCGGTGCATCTCAGAGACCCGCACCAGGACTCCAGGCCGCTACCATGCAGCGAGTCTTCCCTTGGTGCTCAAACATCATCTCCTTCAGCTTCTCTTTCAATCTGCTGTCTCCCCTCTGCACGGTCACGGCGCAGTTCCTAGCTAGGGGCACTGCCTCCCCGTGTCCCACCGCACTGTATCCTCCTGAGACTCCCAGGGGGTTCTGCCCAACCTTCCCTGCCACGCTCTGTCTTCCCTCGCTGGGGTTCCGTGGAGGACCAGGAGCAGCTGCCAGGCCTAGCCAAGGCCTAAGAGTATTCAGGTCTTGTTTATAGACGCTGCCAGTTCCCTTACTCCACAGGGGCTAACTTTAACCTAGGCTGATGTGCAGAGGCAGAATGACCAGAGGCCTGGACGACACCTCAGGCCCCGCCCCTGAACAGGAAGGAGGGCCCAGAGGTAAATCGCTCAGTGCTGCCCATAGCAAACCCGCTTCAAACTCATCAGTCTTTCTTCTTCTTCTTCAAATGTGTAAACGTTTCATGCTGTCTTCAGCTGGGGACGACTCTCTGAAAATCCATTTCTGGTGCATAATTAGAGACTTTACAGTGTAGATGTGGTTGTTAATGAATAAACACGAAAGCAAGGCCAGCCCAAGCCCACAAACTGAAATTTGGCTTTTTAAAGCCCAAGGTCTTTTTTGTTTTGTTGATTGTTGTTGTTTGCTTATTTTTTTATTGTTTTTGTTTGGCTTTCATTGTGCATGTTTTTTCTTTTTTGTTAAAAATACAATTAAGAAGAACTACATGTAGTCACCTGTATCCAATTAGTTTTACTCGTTAGGACTTAGAAGTAATGAGATTTATGCCAAGTATTTAATTCCCATGTGAGGAGGAATTAGTTTCACTGATCACTGCTATAGACTCTATCCTTCCCCAGGCCAGCCATTTCCCAAGACATCAGATCAAAAATCATTAAGCCCCCCAAATCTATGAAAATTAACTACATTGCTTCACTAAACATCTTCATATGTAGACAAACAGTTGTAAGATAAATTATGTGCACTTTAGAATGTCTTTTCTAAGATGATGTGCAAACATGGCTGGGCATAACACCTTTGTTCCAGCATTTGGGAGGCAGAGTCAGATGGATCTCTGTGAGTTCAAGGCCTGCCTGGTCTATATAGTAAGTCCCAGGATAACCAGAGTAATGTAGAGAGACCCTATCTCAAAAACAAGACAAAACAAACAAACAAAAATCTATTTATAAACAGGATGAGGAATGTTTGATTTGATTATTTTGAAATTAATTAAAACAATGGCAAGAATAATGGTATTTGTTTCTAAAAGCTACTAATTCTTTGCTTTTAAATATGAGTGAAAGTGCTCTGTTATCTTTGCTACCAGTGTCTGCTTAAGTCAAATACAGTAATCAATACAGACGTCTACACTTTTTCAAAAGCATTCTAGATGGCTCTCATAGCTAAGGGACAAGTAAAAAGTGGTGGGCTAACTTCCCAAGCCTTACTTTTAATTTTGGGCTCTGCCTACCATTAGAAAAACAGCGACAGCAACCAGGCTATAGGCATGAGATAAACAGTGCCCAATTAATAACCTGAACCCCCATGATATAACACCCTATTCTGAACTGCGTGCTGAGACATTTTCTTAAACAACATGGGAAGCTTTTCACACATTGTCCATGTCAGGTCTTAGAGTAGATTGTTAGAGGAAGTTACAAGGTTGTGCCATAAACGAGCAAATGAAGTTTAACTGTTCCAGGCTGTCGTCATTATTGTCTTTTTGACAACTGCACCCAGTTTCCACGTGTTAGCAAAGAGAACCTGATCTCAAAGAAGACGCAACTCCAAAGACAGCAACCATTGGCTCTCAACAGCAGCTCTGGTATTAGAAAGCTGAAGTTATACATTCTGATGTCATAATGAGAAATACATGATTTTAAACCACACATGTTTAATGCCCACACAAGGCCTGTTATGCTACAATATTTTTTATTTTTTTTTTTGGAAGTTAAGTAGGCAATTTCTCAAATGCCAACCATTTCAATACAGCTATTAACACATATGAGAATGACTGAACTCCATTTCACAAATGGTGTGCTCATACCTATACCATGAAATCTTGTGTTTTGAAATGAATTGGGCCACAAACATGCTCACAACTGAACTAACTTGAAAATCTGTTTCTATTAACCATATTCTTTCACTGAAAAATATTGCACCAGACAAGATTCAGGAGAACAAGCCAAAGCAGAAAGCAAACCATTAAATATACTCTCTCCAAAAATATATGTATGTGACTCAGAAGTAATTAAGAAAGCGTAAGTCCTACTGAGATTTATTCAACATTAATATAAAACCTCACATCTTCTACAGCAGAGTATATATTTCTTTTCTAGGAGTCCAGTTTTTATTCATTTATAGTGTTTTAATACCAACATAAATACCCATTTGAGTTTTTATTTTAGCCAATCTTCAAAGTTCTCACAAGTTTCAATATTTGGTAATGTGACTTAATGAGGCTTTAAAGCAATAGGAAAGGACCTTAAAGAGAAGAATAGAGATGATCCTAACAAATCTCACTCAAACAAAGAAATAACACATCGTGGCTATGCAGCTCACAGAGGCCATTTCCTATTATGAATATGACGGAAATAAACAGTCGCCATAAAAAGATTAAAACTAAGGAGTAGCAGAAGTGAGGGGCATGCGGACACTGTCTCGCAGGAGCATACCTTTCTCTGTCTCCTTCGGTGAGGTCATATAAATGGTTGGCGCCACCATCAGCACAGGCTCTGAAGAGAGCTTCAAACAAAAAGAACACAAACCATTTCAGTACAAATGGCACAGCACAGTCTCTCCTGTGAACATCACCGAAAAGCCAACACTCTGAACACAGTCATGCTACCGCCCTGGGTCATGAGATTCCCCTAGGACAATTCTGTCGTCATTACAAGTGACTCTGCATAGAGGAGAGAACAACCCAGAGACACCCTGCATCTTTCTCGGTGCCTCTGGACAGAGGTGGAGAGTGTGCGGTGCTAGGCTATTCTACAGTGTTCTTTTCTCCTTCTAAAAGAGAAGGCAGGTTCATGCTCATGGCAGGGTGTAGCACACACATCTGACAGTCGGTTGCTCTGGCCACACAGGCTGGCTTTGAACTTCTACTGGGAACAGCGGTACTTCCAGGTGACAACCTGTCTCGTTGCTCTGCGCCTTGATGGTTTCTTCCAGAAACATTGAAGGCTTTCCTTTTCTCACTGATGTTCTGAACTTCAGAACTGTGCCTAGGTTCTGGATGACCCAATTATTTCCCTTCCTTCAGTGAAACACACCTGCGGATGGTCTTACCTGTCCTCAACCTTTCTCCAAATGTTTCATTCTTGCTTTCCTTCTGTATGTGACACATTGCTTCAACTCCATCTTTAAATTTATAAAATCTCCCTTCAATTACGTCAAATACTAGCATGATAGTTAACATCCCATTACTAATAATAATGTATGCCAATAATATTAGTTTCAGTTTTACTATTTTAAACTATTAATCTTTTCACTAAAGGACCTTTATGATGTTTTGTTGCTAATTTTTAAAACTTCTTTTTAAAATAAGATTAATTAAAAAAACAGTATGTGGGAATTGAGCAAAACAAACAAACAGAAGGAAAAGAGCCCCAGAGTAGGCAAAGAAACAGAGACCTACTCGTTCTCACACTCAGGAATTCCATAAAAACACTAAACTGAAAGGCATAATATAAATATAAAGGGCCTGGCACAGACCTCTTCAGGCCCTGTGCATGCTGCCTGGGTCTCTGTGAGTTCTTAAGTTTTGATCATGTTGAATTACAGAATCTTGGCTTCATTTACTTAAAAAAAATCTTTGCCCTAGGGCTTCAGATCAAACTATTTTTTTTATTCTATGGAGTACGAGCAGATGAAAGATATTGGTGATTTAGCAGGATATTAAGACTATTTCTTTACCATTAATATATGAAAGCCTTGCCTTCTGCCCCTACACAACTACTAGAAGCAAAGCCACTAAGTATATTAGTTATTCTTTTCATTGTAGATCTATATAAGAGTAGTAAGTAATAATGATGCCGTAGACCCAAATGTATGTTGTCTTGAAACTTCCTCCACCTAAGAAATTAGTCTCAGGCAAGGGGTGGAACATGATCAAATTATTTGACAAAATACCACATGAATAGCTTGGAGCCCAGTGGCTAATAGTCTCTATGCCTATCTGCAGGCTTCCCCTCTCTGTATTACTCTCAACAGCACTGTCTCCCAGGCTCCTAACAGAACAGCTTATGAACCGCTTACAGCATTCAACTGCTTTCCTAGACTAAAACTCCAATGTCTTCTATTTTAAATCATTAGCGAAAATGTCTGGGACAGGAATGGTTTCAGAAGGAATAAACTACCCTGTTGACCTACTACTTTATTTTAAAGCCATTCCATTGTCTTTTTTTGTGTGCATATTTGGCTATGTATTTAAAAACATTTAGAATATTTAACTCAGAATTTTAATGTGTTAACAGCAGGAAAGATGATGTAATGGACATCTAACCAATCCTATGGACAGGCACAAAAGCCCCATCAAAGTCCATTTTCCATGTTCCCGGTTACACGTAAATAAAACACAAGCTAAGTGGTAAAACACACTCAATTTTAGCTTGAGCTTCTTTACTCATGGAGTACGGTCACTAAGCAATTAGAAATTTAATAATTACATGTGGTCTTTCCCGTAAATACATGAACACATTCAGCATTTACTAAACAGTTTTCTGGTTTTTGCTAGAATTTCCAAAAATATAAAAGCTTACATTCTTAGAAAAGAACAGATCAAGCTACTATAAAATATTAAATGAAAACAAGAGTTTTTTAAAAATAAAAACAACTAAGAGGATGGCTAATTTCACTAACCACTCAAAATAATCATAACAGCAACAACAACAACAATAATAATAATAATAAAGGACTGGAAGCCAGGTTCATATTATTCCAAGAATATAACTGACAGAAGATCATAGAATTTGTGGCACATTTCCTACATGTCAAAATCATAAGTGAAGAGGGAAAAATGATCTCACATAAAATGTAGTATAACATCACTGACTGGGAAGAATAAAAAGACTGATTAATACAAACAGATGGTAAATGATCAGTAATTACCCTCAGAGTATAAAAAATAATTCTCCATAAACAAAATTAACAAGTATATGAGCTCTTCTATGTAAAAATGTATTTACTTAAACAATAAAAAAATAGTGTTTAATTGATGAAGATTAACAAGAAGAATGGTATCAATTTGCCATACAACATAGCAAAGATCAGCTGACTTCAACATTTAAGGCTTTTTAAGAGCCAGGGTTGGAGCTCAGTGACAGAGTGCTGACCTAGCATGTCTGAGAAACGGTTCTGCTCCCCAGTGACATCATAAGCAATAGGCACATTTACATTTGGTAGGCATCCAAGCTCACTTTGCAGCAGAAGAAAATAGAGTGAGAAGAGAATGTGTGTCATGTCCTTTGGACTAACAAAGGCTTCAAATGCAATGAGCATTCAGAGGTCAGCTTCAACGGAAGAGACATAAGGATGCATTAACAAATCCAGCTCAGCTAAAATTCTGGTTATTTTTGTCAATCAAAAAGTTGTAAAACTTGTTATTTCTAACAACTATCTTTGATTTGATGGATTTAGAGCAGTTTATGAAAAGTGCAACACTTAGTAACTACATTTATTTATGTTTACTAATGTTGCAAATGGAAACCTGAACTAGAATAATGATGAGGAAATATACATAGAGGATAGGAACAGGGATTTATTCCATCTGAAGGGAAAAAGAAAACCATTTTGAAATAATTTAATGCCCATAACTACCACAAAATATTCCTTACTTTTTAAAGCCTTATTTTCAAAAACAGTTTCAAATTCTACAAGTATACAAATAAAACTGCATTTAAAAAGAAAAAAATCAAAGACTGTAACAAACAATGCTGACACAGGTTCACACCGCAATTTGAAAAACGTGCAACACACACAGCCAAGAAAGGGAATGACCATGTAACAAGACCAGAAGTAGAGGGCACTCTAGAGGAGGAGGCAGATAAACCCCATAAATAGGACTGAAAACGCTCATTCATCATAATTTAAACTGTCCTAAGAATTCCTGCATGAGTTATCTATTAATGTAAAATGTCCGTTAGCTTGTATACAGCAAAATTTTTGCAGATTTACAAAGTAAAGATTGAACAATTGCTTACTATACTTCAAGCTGATAAACATTTGAAAACTAAAACCCACTAAAAATTACTGGAGCAATGTTTCTATTTCATCAATTATGGTATCTGGCAGATAACTTTAACAGTTGTTTTTTTAATCCAGCATTCAGCAATCTTTACAAAAAACAAAAAGAAACCCTGCAGTCACAGTTACAGGTAAAATACTTTTGCTGAATACAATTGAGCAGCAATGATTTGGCTTACTGCAAAGTGTACTATTAAGGTAATTTCAGGTATGTATATGGGGAAGAAACAGAAAGAGAAGAGGGAGAAAAGAAAAATCTTGCCAATTTTAGTAACTTAAAAGATCATTTTTAGTTTAATTGTGATCCCAGACTCTATGAGCAGTAACTATCCCAGTGATTTTAAGCCAACTCCAACATTTCTGATTCTAATGCAAAATCATCAAAATTACTATGGTGTATTCACCCAAATAAGAAAAATCCAGAATGGGCAGGAAGACAATATAGATAAAACAAGAAGGGAGGTGCAGGGGAAGATGTTATGCTATTGATGAAACTCTAACTCAGAGAGACAGCCCTGTAAATTTACACTCTTAAATATGCTTTCCCGTTGATGCAGAAATTCTATATAGACAACATAAATACTTGCCTAGATGGGCAAAGACAGTAAGCCTAATTACTATCACATATGCGTTATAATGAAAAGCCCTGCAGCAGACATGCATGGCCATGGTGTAAATATTGGTAACTATATAATAGTCATCATATCCAACCATCAAGAAAGTTGCCTTTATATGCATTACGATGCTACTTGTTTGAACTGCTATCTCCTGGCCCCAGCCTACTACACTATGGGATTAAATGAATGTGCCACCACATCTGGCTTATAGTATATTCTTTTAAAAAATTATCTCTTAATCTATTTTTATTGTATGGATGTTTTGCCTTCGGGTCAGTCTATTTGCCAAGTCTAGACCTGGTCCCCAAAGAGGTCAGAAGAGGTATCAGATTCTCTCGAACAGGAGTGTCTCAGTTAGGGTTCTATTCCTGTGCAGAAAAACCATGACCACAGCAACTCTTACAAAGGAAAACATTTAACTGTGATGGCTCACTTACAGTTTCAGAGGTCAGTCTATTATAATCATGGTGGAAAGCAAGGCAGCATGCAGGCAGACTTGGTGCTAGAGAAGGAGCTGAGCATTCTTGCATCTTGGCTCACAGGCAACATGAAGTGGACTGAGACACTGGGCAGTACCTTGAGCTTATATGAGACCTCAAAGCCCACCTTCACAATGGCTCACTTCCTCCAACGAAGCCACACCTCCTCTGACAAAGTCACATCTCCTAATGGTGCCACTCATTGGGGAGCTGTTTTCTTCCAAACAGGCATTTGTGAGCCACTATATGGGTACTCAGAATTGAACCCTGGTCCTCTGCAAAAATAGTCAGTGCTCTTAACCACTGAGCCATCTCTCCAGTCTCCTAGTATATTATTTTATATGATAAGTTCTTTTTATAAATTACTTCTTGTTTAGGTCTTCCAGCAAATAGTAGCTAAGAG